AATACTGAACTCGATGGACTGGCTCGAGATCTCACTATGGGTACTGCAAGCCTTGTATGTCAAAATTTGCTCCTGATCATCTGGAATTGCTCAGACCATCATGCTTTGTGTGAAGGATGGTGGCACAGAAACCACTAAAATACAGTAACAGTACGTTCAACAGATCAGTTCCATACTTTATATTATATGTTTGCCCAACAAACCCCTTGTATGTGCCACCTCTAACCATTTTTTCTACTATCTAGCTCCCTGATTAGCATTTTTAACAGGGGGTGCATTTTAAAGGTGAAGAAAGATTAAAGCACTAGCTGTGCATGCATGGATGATTCACAAGGTTCTTTTACTCCCCTCCTCTATGGCATGAGCAGAGTTTCTCCCCTTAAGGTGCCTCTATCTGCCTCTGCATTCTCAGCTGCCTGGGTCTTTCCTCACATCTAGGTGAAACCTAGAAAAAGCATTTCATACTTGGGAGGAAGGGGTTGAACAGTCCTTTGCCTATGTCTCAAATAATGTGTGGGAGGGAGATGTGGGGGGGGGCTTATATTGGGGCCAAGATAAGGAGGTTCCCGGGACAAAATTGAGACCCCCTATCAATGTATTCTGTACACTTCCCCCAGTCCTCTGCCTTTTCTTCTGGGACAAAAGTTAACACATCTACCTGCCTTGTCTTCACAAGGAGCTCGTGCCTGAACTGTGCAGCCGAAAGTGCACATCTTCCCCCTCTCCACCTGTCTACCCTCCATTGTTTCCACCTGTAGCAACCTTCAGAAAACCTGCAGCCAATCAAGGTGGAGAAGCAGTCCCATTTGCCCCTCAGTTGCGGAGACAGGCACAGTTCTCGAGACAAACTAGTATGAGACAGTTTGCTGCAAGGCATGGAAAAAATTATCATATTTCTGTACAGCAGACACTGCTGGGTGTCAGGATCAACAGGGGAAAACTTCCATGTTTCACATCAGCTCTGTCTCTTGCTCTCCCAGCAGCATTCTCCTCCCGCCCCCCTGCTAGTTTCCTGGGGTTTGGACGGATGGATCTGACATTTCAGTTGAAACCTTTGCAAATGGAGCTACAGGGCTTGAACGCTGGGCCCCTTCCAAATGCTTACATTTATTACAGTCAGAAGCTACAAGGCCAGAGAAATGGCTGCCCACAATGCTTGGAATTTATTCCCGCTCCCATTCTGTCTAGTACCATGCTGCAACAGTGGGTATTTGCACAATGCATTCATTTAAAGAAGGGCTGTTGTTTTTTTTCCATTTTGCATGTCTTATAGTTAAAACAAGAGATCTCAAGAAATTTGTGCTTAAACAGCTGATATTTTGGGCTCAGGAGCAATGACAGCAATCCTTTTGCATTTGAGGGGAAATTTTTGACTGAGTTCCTCGGATGGCTAAGCCAAAGAGTGTGCCCAAGAAAAAGGGAAAGTCAGAAGCCAAAATTGCATGCCCAGGAAAGCCACATTTGCCACAAACAGAATTAAACAAATTGTGGAAATGACCACTTAGTTATTTCAACCTAACAAGTAAACAATTCTCAGATGGTTCACCATGAATGCAAAACTTGCACAGCAGCAGCAGACTTGGTTTCAATTCACTCAACATGGTCCAAAGGGAGCCTCGGTTGAAAAAGTTTCTTTGGGGGATGGGTATGGGGGCAGGAGAGAGGCCACATTGCCCAGGTGTGTGTGTGCAGATCCCACTACAGCCTCCAGGGTTTTTTGTGATAGCGCTTCAAAAGTCTGCAAAAGCAACAGCAAGGCAAAGGAACGCCTGCCTACACCAGGGGAAACAATGCACCTGTTGTACCATAATCCACCTCTTTAAAAAAACAACCCATTTTCAGTGACAGTTGTGCTGCCCCTATTACAAAATAGTATGGAAGCAAACCTTTGAAAGAGGAGAAGGAATGGGACAACACAGCAGGTCCCTCCTCCGCTCTAGTAACTGACCACTGGTCATGCCAGCTAGAGACCCAGAAACACTATACACATGGCACAGAGATATTGCTCATCTTTAATAACCAGCTCTATGATTCATTAGATGGTCTTCTGAAGCCTAAAATAATAAATTCCTGAAAAAGTAAGTTCCCAGTCCTCAGGATTGTTTTAAAAAGCGTGATAATGTGGTTTTAATTAAGACATACAAACATACATGTCCCAAGAGAAAGAGCGTACAGCAATCCAAATGCTTCTGCTGAATTATAGCCAAACCAACTGAACTTGTTCATTGCCATCATAAACAAACCAACATTTCTGATGTGTTAATTTTTCAAAACCCCAGTACTGCTACTCAAAGTGCCTAAAAAGACATTTTGTTTTGGCTGCCAGAAAACCAAAGCAGGCAAAGAAAAATACGACAATTTAAAACATCAAACACTTGGATTGCAATTGATTCCCCCCTCCCCAGCCCCCCTGCAGAAATGTCATATGTGGGTTTGCAGGGAGGAGGGAAGAACAGTTTTTACAATATAAAAGAATTTCAAAATGGCAACACAATGCTTTCTAAAATGCTCCCCCCCCCAATGCCAAATTCATTTCACTGTGACATTTTCCCACTAGCCCTTGTAACCAACACACAGGAACAAGTAGGAGCCTCCAAAAGTGGCATTTTCTCATTCTGGTGATTAATATGAAACCACTCGACATTCCAGCCTGGTTTTATCTTACAGTACTGTAACAAGGCTACTGAGACAGGCAAAGCCTCCCTAGTCTGAGTGCCCCTGCAACAACTGCAGCCTCTGATTAGCCCTCCTTTAGCAAATTGGATTTTGTGGTTTCTCTTCAATTTCATTCCCACTGACACACTCATAGGACAGAGTGCCAGAGTGGAGTCAAGAAAGCTGGGCCTTCTCTTTCAACTTTAGTTCAGAAAACCAACCACAAGCTGTGTGGGTTCACTGAGCTGATAAGGTTCAAGCACTGGTAGCTTTATTAGGACACCTCAGGGAGAAAAAGATGACGATGCTTGTGGTGTGTCAAAACACCAGGCTCTCCGGTCTTGTCTCTCTGCAGCTGTACAAAGATGGGTGCTCAAGGAACACTGGGATACTGGAAGAATTCTCTAAGAGCCGCACGCAAAAGGGCTCCAAGATAGACACATGGAATGGAGGGATATATTTTATTTTAAAAAAGCATGACAATATAGTTTATGGTTTTGTGTGGATAGGTCACAGGGAGAAGGGAAGCTGTCACTGGAATTAATCAAATTGTACTCTCCCTTTTAAAAAACTAGCTAAGAAGTTAAAGCATACTTGGAGAATTATTGGGGGCTGAGGCAGAACTGACAGTCCTGTCCTGCTAGAGGTCTCTAGAGGTTTTCAATACCATAGGACCAAAATCCCATATCAAAGGAAGCTATCAACATCGTCAATAAAGGATTTTTCGAAGTATGTCACGGTAGCTGGGAGCTAAGCACTACAAAGCATTTATGTAGCACTTGAGCATGTTCAAAACACTTCACATATATTGCCTCTGTAATCCTTCCTACCACTCTATAAAGATATGGAGATATTATTATTATTATTATTATTATTATTATTATTATTATTATGTGTCAGATGGGGGCAGTGCAGCAGAGACTGAGTGAGGTTTGAGTTTGGTTCATGTAACTGCAAGGGAAGAATAGAACCAAGGACTTCCTTGTTCATAGCTCAGTATTTTATACTACACTAGCTCTTTAACTGATAGCTCCTATAACATGTGTTAGTTACTAATACCACACCAGAACCTAGTCAGACCTGCTACTAGCAGCTACTCTGTAGAGGTGGAAAACCAGATCGCAGACAGGCCTTAAAATTGATTGGCGGACTCATGAACCTAATAACCACATTTGCCACTTCTCTTCCTGTTTCTTTAGTCTTGCTCTGAGTTAGCTGTGTTGGAGGGGGAAGATATTCTATTGACATGTAGTTGGACTTTTGGCAAACTTTTGATTTTGATTTTATTATTTGCACTCTGGTTATTCTTGTGATCTGAAGCATGGGTTGTTCCGATAGTCCATCCCCCCCCCCCATTATTTTACGAGATGCTGCCATTTTAACTTTGATGTTACTGCAAGCTTCTGAGGGGATTTTACTGAAAAGACGGTTCTACATTTTAAAACAAACCAGCCATCTGATGTCTGATTGGACAACATTTACTTGGAAGTAGGTTTTTGACTCTGATTTAGAGGGAAAGCATTAAACCCAGTTTGCTAGCTTGGACATCATGGTAAACTATAGCCGGTGCTAAAATGGACACTGAAAGAAGAGAAGAAGAGATTGGATTTATACTCCACCCTTCACTTGGAGTCTCAGAGTAGCTTACAAACTCCTTTCCCTTCCCCTCCCCACAACAGACACCCTGTGAGGTAGCAGGGGCTGAGAGAGCTCTGACAGAACTATGGCTTGCCCAAGATCATCCAGCAGCTGCCAGTGGAGGAGTGGGGAATCAAACCCGGTTCTCCCAGATTAGAGTCCGCGCACTTAACCACTACACCAAGGGAAACATATATGAGTGCACTGAGCCATCATCCCTATGACATTTTGTTGAGGAAGCACAGCCTACAACTTGGAATTCTCTTACTCCTCTCCAGTTACCAAACCCCACTTGGTCCTATTTTCAGCTCACTCCTCAAACTTCAGAGACTAAACTATCAGCAAGTTGGACACAAATTCACTGAGAGGACTTGGGCAAGCTATTTATTCTCAGCTCCCTACCTGTAATGTAATCAGAGAGGCCTACTTTTCAGGCCTATTCTCAGGATTTTGGCAATGATCTATGTGAAGGTGAGAGGACCTGAAAAGTGTTCCATAAAAAAATAAAACAATATTATTTCTGCCTGTTGGCCCAGGATCCTGACAAGGCCCTGCACTGCTACTCCTTCCTGGTTTTACACGAGAGCCGAATTAAGAATGACGGTAATGTACTTCGAGCACACAGCTTCTAAATTAAAAATCCCAATCAGAGTTTTGCAGATGATGATGAAGTCAAGCATATTCAGACAGAGGATGCAACATCTAACCTGTTCATATTTCTCCAACTCCGTGTGATAGATCTGTCTGATCTGGGTCAATTTGGCCCTGTAATCTGAGTGTTCGATAGAGTTATCTGATGTCCCGCCGGAAGCTGCTGCCGCCGCCGCCGCCGCTGCCGATCCTCCACCTTTCTCAGGACCTGAAACCCCTTCTGCCAGAAGCATATTGTCCAATCGCATTAGCTGGGGGTCAGGAGGATCTTCCTCTTGAGCTCCTCGGATGCTGAGACCTTTGAGTGAAGGAAAGAGAGGGAGGGAAAAAGACCTAAATTAATCTAGCCTGCATCCCATTAGCCTACCCCATCCTTCTCTGAGCCTCTGAAACAGTTACTGCTGGAAGCCATTTCAACACAAATTTGTGCAGGCTCACTGTCGCGGATGTTGTCACACAAGGAGGCGAATGTACTATATATGTTGTGAACACTCAGCACTAAAAGAAATAATAATGATGCTGTATCAGAACAGCCAGAATGTCTGCATCAAGAGAAAGAAGACTGTAGTTCCAAGGCTTGGTTGGAGGCCACACACAACAGCAGCCTTGCTGAAGCTAAGTGGGCCTCGGTCTGTCTAGTAGACCTCCTGGGAACCCTATGTATGAAACCTTAATTCCATGATGAAAGAAAGGCAGGATACCACAGCAATTAAAAACCATTTTAAAAAGAAACATTCTGTGACATGAATCAATTATGCAAATTCAACTTATTTGCATATCGTGCACTGCTTCTGCTGGTAACAACTTCTGTGACTCAAATTATTTACTCACATTATGGTATATTTAGAGAAATCTAGGCTACTTACTGTTCTCGATATAAATAAATATATGGACTAAAAACAGCACTAAAGCCAGTACCATATAAAAGTAGCAGCAGCATGATTAAAGTACAAAGACTTGTAAATTCAGGTTGGAAGGCTCTTAAAAAACACCAAAAGCCCAAGAGAACAGGAAGACCTTCACCTGGTACCACAATGTTAACCAAGATGGCACCAGGTGAACATATCTAGAGAGAGAGACCTAAAACCTGGGTAACACTCTAGAGAAGCTTGCTTATGTACATGGAAAATGGCCTCACTGATCTCTTTCCTATTATGCATATTATGAAAATGTGCATTTATTTGCTTTTCTGTGTGGCTTCCACCAGTGAACTGTGCAAAGCACCAACATCTTTGGCCTGAGATTTCACCAGGTACTGACATTTTTATCACCATCAGCTAAGGCATTAGGGCCAGAAATTTCCTTTTCAACACACACTAACAGCAGTTTCTTTGGACTCCAAATTCTGCATACTGCACTAATTTTGTGCTAGTACATGCAGAACTCAAGACATGCTCAAACGATATGAATTTTTAAACAATGTTTCTATGTGTTGCTGTATGGTTTTTCTCTGGCTGATTTCATTTGGGGGGGGGGGGTTTCTGCAGGTTAACATCCAATGTTCCCATTCTAGATGAAATTGTGACACAGAGACGACAGGCAAGCAAACACCAGTTGCTGCTTTCTAGTTATTTGCTTCTTGCTCACCTGCCTGGACAAAAATTCAGCAGCCACTCTTTCATTGCCTGTCCTCTCAGCAGCTGTTACTGCTCAATCAAGCAGGTGTCTGAATGGTAGCAGGGCCGGCTCCATCACTAGGCCAGCTAGTCTCTGGCCTAGGGCAGGCAGAGCTCTGAACAGGGCGCCAACTGCCCTACCGCACTCACCCCCGCCAAAAGCCCCAACCGTCCCTGCCCAAAGCCGCTGATTCGCCGCCCTCTGAGTCAGCCAGCGTGATTCCCTTCCCTCAGGAAAGGTAAGTTCATGAGCTGGGGGGGATGGTCGAGACGGCGGCACCCATGCAATTGATTCTGAGGGGGGGAGGGCAGCGGGGGGCACCCCAAAGCCAGCGGCAGGCAGCCTGGCCCGCCTCTCCCATCTGCACTGGGGCCCTCGCCAGCGGGGCTCTCCTGGGCCGCCCGCCCCTCACTTGGCTGAGAGGAAGGCCCTGGCGCGCGTGCCCCCGCAGACTTGCGCCCTCATGGGCAGACCTAGGAGACAGCCGGGGGAGAAGGGCTTGCACGACTGCTGCAGCTACGTGAGCTTTCATTGCAGGGGGGAGGAGTGAGGGGGCACTTTTCTCACTCCACCAGCGGCCCCGCGAGGAAGGCGGGGGAGCGGCGGCGGAGGAACCAAGGCGGAAGCTGCCTGGCTGGGCCCAACCCGGGCAAGGGCGAGGCTAGCTTGTGGCGCCTGGCGCCCCCCCTCCCCGATGTGTTTCTGGGAGATTTCCAGGCCCCACCGGGAGGTTGGCATCGCCTGGGGGGCGCCACAAGCTGGCCTCGCCTAGGGTGCAGAATGGTAGACAGCAGCAGGGAGCCACCATCACTGCCTGCCCTCTGACAACCTGGCAGAGAAGGACAGGAGGAACAGGAGAGGAGTCTGCCAAGCAAGAGGTGAGGATAATACGCCCACTTGTTTGGAGGAAGGAAAACAACGTCACCACCTGGAGAGGTTTGGTTGCAATTGTTGCTACTGAACACTAGGAGGCTCTCCCTATGCTAGGGCTTGAGACCCTGCAGGCACCACCTTGCCAGGGTCCCCAGAAATGTCATTGTGGTGCCTAATATCTTCAGCAACCATTTTACTGTAGCATCTCTCAACTGTTCTCAGTGGAAGTTAAAAAGCTTATTCATAATTCTGCATCAGAACATTTTCTATATGACAAAAATAAATGTGCATGAAATTCCTATCCTAGTATTTGTTACATTTATATGTAAACTGAACTTTGCATAATCCACTGGTGGTAGATGACTTAATTTCTTAACCAGTTGCCTCCTCTGATAGCTCCAATATTCAATTAAATGGAAGTTTTTAAAGCAGTGATGGAATTTTGAGAAACTGGGGAGAAGTTAGGCTGTGGTTATTAACCATGTTTATTTATATACGGCAATTTTGTCATAGTTTTATCAAATTACAAGAAGCTCTGAAGAGGTGAGGTTCTACTGTGGTCACTAAATATGGTGATTAAAATATGAAACCTTGAATAATAAAAATGAGTCCAGCTCCTAAATTCTTAGGCTGACTCCTAGAGCCAAAGAAAATCTGTCAAGACCTGCCCAAGGCTGTAGGACCATGGCAGATCCCCAACCGTATCTATCCCTGACTGGGTCAGATGCCTAGAAGAGGTCTGAAGGAAGCCCCAAGTGACAAAAGGCCAGGACTTGAACCTACCGCATCTAAATAGCCCTAATAGCAGCTACCACGCCCAAGAACAGATGCAGCCGGTAGGTCATAGATCTGAATTTGACACAAGCCCCAGCAATTGCTTTATGATGCCTGGCTCTGTGGTGCAGAAAAGCTACATTTCACATTCCTCCCAGAATCACTTGTTTAAACCACCCAGCAAGTGTAATTGCCATTTCAGCACTAACTACATGTTCAAAACTGCCGGCATTGTTACCAGCAGCTGGCAGGGAAACATCAGCATTATATATTTAAAAAAATCTTCCTCTGAACAGAGGATTCCAAAATGCTGCCTAGTCACCAGTCTCAACTGACTAGTATAGATCAAGGCTGACAATTTGTAGGTTTAATCAGGTCAGACGGGCTCACTGCCAAGACGCACTCAACACTGCCGAAAAACAAAGTTGAGAAATA